TTCCGCATGATTGTACTTCTACATGGCAAAGGTGGTGACGATGTTGCTGCTTTTGGCAGTAGGGTTCTGACGTAGCTCCCAAATAGCTGGATCCTTGTTTCAAGGACCTCTAGATGAGCAACCCGCTTATGAGAAACCCCCGAAGGTGATGATTCCCGTTCTTCAGCAAGAAAAGCGTCTGAACCCGAACTGTTCGAAACCCAGAACCCTCAGGCACTGCACTTCAGCTTGGAAAAAGAATCCTTGGAAAAAGAAGCCCAAACGTCCCTCCTACGAACCTGAATAGCAGGATGGATCCTTGTTATATGTAGCCCTTGTTTTTCCCCCCGATGTAGGAAGAGAGCTCCAGTATGTGGCAAGGAAACGTCTTCTCCTCGGCGCGATGGAACTTCACGGAGGAGGTGGATGGACTCTGAAATCAATAGCCCATGATCCTAGGTAGTATTAGGGAGACCCCTTAAAGGGGACCCTTCTTAACCCTACTTCTGGCTCTCTAAATAGGGACTTTATTTTGAGGGGGGCTGTATTCCCCAAAAGTTCCCCCTAATTCTAACTCCCACATGAAGACGGAAGTGTGCCGAGGAATTTAGGGATGCAGGGTGTAGGGTTCTGTTGAGGCCACAGAAGCTTAGCAGGGCTCAGAGTGAAGGATTCGGGGTTTAGGGGGTTCAGTCTTGGTTCAGGTCCTGGGACGGCTAGCAGGGGCAGCGACATGCACTTTTGAGTTGAGGCACGAAGGGCAAGCGTCGTGATAGAATAGTTTTATGTAGGGACTATAAGTCGAGGCTGTAACAAATTGCTCGAGCCTACAGTTGATGCTAGCACGATTGCAGCTATTGCTCCTATCTCTTTCTCAGACGATGCCGGCGGCGACTGCAGGTCGTGACATGAACCCCAACCTGTGTACACTATAAACATAACCCTTTATTAGTGGGTTCTTGTACCAAAACCCCAATAGAGGTCCAAGGGGGGGTCCTGGTACACTATAAACATAAAGTTCCAGCTTGCCAGACTCTAAGCCCTGAAAGGTCCTGCAGCCTGAACCCCAATCAAAGCCCCTTCAGAGCTTGAATAGAAATTCTTGTAGAACACAAAGTCTTTAGTCTAATCGCACCGGTGTTTAGAAAGCTTTAGAGAATCCTGAAGCCTTGTAGAACACAGTGTGTTTTTTTCCGTGACTCCTTGTAGAACCCGTCTAGAACCCTTATAAAACACAGTTCCTTCATGGCACAGTAGCTCCTTTGCGAGCCCTTCCAGAACCTATTCTAGCGTAACCTAGGAACCTGATTAAGAAACCCGAGCCCTAGTATCCCAAAATAGTAGGATTCGTTTCAAGAACCCCAGTAAAGACCCAGGGTTTCTTAATCAGGTTCCGACAGTAGTATAGACCCCTAAACCCTAAACCCCTAAACCCCTAAACCCTAAAAGTAGCATCGCAAGCCTAAGCAGGACTCCGATACAGCGACCTGTCTCCCTGGTTCTTAGTAGGGAATGGGGGAATGGATCCCTATGGTAGTCCCTTAAGGTCCCCTATAGTAGTCCCAAGAACCCATTCCCCCCAAACCCTAAACCCTGAACCCCCAAACCCCCAAACCCCTAAACCCCTAAACCCTAAACCCTAAGTACCCATTCCCTGCTAAGAACCAGGGAGTTTGTCCAGGCTTGAAGTACGAGCAGCTCTGTGAACTTCCGGGCCAGGCTAGCCCCGGTCCTTGTGACTTTAGGGTTTAGGCTTTTAGGGGTTTGGGGGTTTAGGGGTTTAGGGGTGTAGGGGTTTAGGGGTTGAGGGTTTAGGGGTTTAGGGGTTTGGGGGTTTGGGGTTTAGGGTTTATGAGCGCGGCTCATGCTCACAGGTGAACTTCAAGAGTAATCATATAGTGATGTCAGTAGTACGAACCATAAAAAATATGAATACTTTACTTGCGAATGCTATTGTTTTTGTCACTGCTACTTTCAGTAAAATGCAGGACCAAGAACAATGTTTGCAGCATATCAACTCAACATTTGAACAGTAAGTGCTTCAGGTACAGCAGCCTGGACCGGTACTAGGTCCATTTCTTAGGGTTTCCTATTGTGATTATAGTATGATATACCCCCGCCCCCCCTACCCCCATTTTCCCCAGCAGCAAAATAAAGGTTTTAAACTATTGAGGCTCTGATGGTAGGCTTCATTGGGAGTCTCTTCAGTCTCTTCTTCTGTTTCTAAAGGTGGCTCCAGCGGTTCTGGTCTTCAGAGGGCTGCGGTGCGTTCCTGTTGTTAGTTGTGTGTGGTTTTTCGGGTGTCTGGTTGTTTTTTCCTCGGGCTTATGGATGTTCAGAGTGTTCAGGTCTTATACGGGTTTTAGGGGTTTGGGGGGGTTCAGGAAGACAGGACAGGTACGGCACAACAAGATGCATGCCGTGCGGAAGCAGACAGAAGCCCCAGTTTTGACAACACTTGAGCAACCCTACACCCGAAAGCCTAAACCCCAAACCCAAACCGCCAAACCCCGAAGCCTAAACTTTAAACCCCAAACCCTGAAGCCTCAAGCCTAAACCCGAAAGCCTAAACCCTAAACCCCTGCAGCCTCTACCCGGAATCCCTGAAGCCTAACTCTCGCAGCCTGGACGCCTCCACCCTGAACCCAAAACCCCTAAACTCCCTTTAGGGGTTTAGGGGTTTAGGGGTTTTAGGGTTTAGGGCTTTAGGGTTTCGGGGTTTAGGGTCCCTTAACCCAAGACGCTCACCAGGCAGACGCTGAAATCCAGCGAGATGCCTTGAGCTTACTTTCCTTGGTGTTGCATGGCGCCAGTGTTAGGGCAGCACTTAAAGTCAAGTATTTTAGATGTTGAGTTTCCTTAAAGCCGAACTGAATGAACCTATAAGCCCTGAGCCCTAAACCCCCTTAATTAAGGAATATACCTTAAGTTATAAGGGCCTTAATTTTTTATAATTTGAGGCATATTCCCCTAAACCCCAAGCCCCTCAGCCGTAAGTGTGTCGATCTCTGTCTTCCAGTTTAGGCCTGAGCTACAGGACGCAGGGTTCTTGTTCTTGCTATTTCTGCTATTGTCATCATGTTTATTACGGTTTAGGTTTTAGGGTTTAGGGTTTATATGAATACCTAAGTAGTAATCTCATGCTATGGTCACCATGGCCATTATAAAACACTACAGGTGGGGAGTTTAGGGTATATAGGGCTTCTACAAGGCGGCTAGAAGGTATATAGACCTGGCAACTGCCCACCTGAAAATGTCCTAGATTATACTAATTCCTAAGTAGTAAGCTCATGAAACATATGGCTTCTACAGTTTATGAGCTTATTATCACGATTGTTTTCAGTAGGCTGTTTAGGACTGTAGAAAAACTACCCATGCTATGTTTGTTGGCATCCCTAAACCCTAAACCCTAAACCAAGATGGAGCTTGGGAATCCTCTGGTGCGCGCCACTGTCAGGTCGGCCGAACGTTTCCAGAAAGCCTGGCCCCCGGCATAGGGCAGAGATTAGGCCTAAAACTCAAACTCGAAGCGCAACCGCCATAGGTTTAGGGTTTAGGGTAGAGGTTCAAGGTTTGGTCCATGTACCCACATCGTCTACACTTTGACCCCAAGTACCTATATAGGGACTACATTAAGGCCAAAGTATATACTACATGGCACTTTAAGGGGCCCTAAACCCTAAACCCAAACCCCTAAACCCTAAAAAGGACCCTAAAAGGGACCCTAATTTACTACATGGTTACATGGACCATCAGACCCTAAACCCATGGAACCCCTGAACCCAAACCCTAAACGGGCCTAAACCCCTATTGGTACATGGACCCTTAGGAGGGCAACCCTCATTGCAATCGCAGCCTCGGAGCTTCGGAAGGTCGAGTTCAAGCACAGGGCCTGAATTTAGGGTTTAGGGCTTAGGGGTTAAAGGTTTCGGGTTCAGGCTTTAGGGTTTGCGGTTTAGGGGTTTAGGGGTTTAGGCTTCAGGGTTTAATGACTTAACATAGGGTTTTAGAGTTTAGAACGCTGCGAAGCCATGCTGCAGGTTCGAACCTTGATCGCTAAAAGAGTATATTCTTTACGCTGTTTTGGTGTAATCTACTTAATATATCCTCTTATCGAACCGAACTGTTCGGGGCTGATGAACTCGGCAACTAAGGAACCGTGTCCGGTGAAAGACTCCTTGACCTTGACTTGGCGAGCTTTCTCCATACGCTCCCTGAAGGTATGCATCCCGTCCGGGCATTGAAGCAGCACTTGCGCAGAATGTGTGGACTGTCAAGGTTCCGGCAAAGGCTGGTATTCCTGGAAGACGAGGAAAATGATGCTGGTGGTGGAAACGTAGTTTTGGATGATGATCGCACCTTGAAGCCCGGCGAAGTGCAGGTCGTTCTTCTACACTTCAGGCAGGCATCTGAGGCGCAAGTGCGAGCGCTTCGGGATGCTGCTAGGCTCGGTCTGACAAAAGAAGCGGAGAATGTTCTGCAAAGGCCCCAAGACCCAGATTCCCTACGTCTTGGTCATCCGACCCCACTGTTTGTGGCAGCCGAGCACGGCCGACTCGAGGTCGTACGCCTTTTGCTGGAGGCCAATGCCGACAAGGACAAGGCCACTGAGAATGGAGCCACCCCATTGCTCGTTGCAGCTCAGGAAGGACAGTTGGAGGTGGCACGCCTTTTGCTGGAGGCCAATGCCGACAAGGACAAGGCCGAGCAGAGTGGTGTCACCCCATTGTACATTGCAGCTCAGAATGGGCGCTTCGAGGTCGCACGCCTTTTGCTGGAGGCGAATGCGGACAAGGACAAGGCCAATGATAATGAAGCCACCCCTTTGTACATTGCAGCTCAGGAAGGACAGTTGGAGGTGGCACGCCTTTTGCTGGAGGCCAATGCCGACAAGGACAAGGCCCGGCAGAGTGGTGCCACACCATTGTACATTGCAGCTCAGAATGG